CCCCCCCCCCCATTAAGCTTTATACGGGTTGTTAGCTCCAAATAAGATGATATTGTTTTGCGCGTTCTAAAATTGTTCGGTTCGTTGTCCAGATCTCTATTCATTGTCTACTTTTGAGGAGATATAATATTTGGTACCGATCGATTTCAGAACATTCCTGCGAAGTAAAGCCTACGTAGATTTGTTTACACGTGTATTTGTTATTGTGTAATCTAAAGGCCTCTGATCTGTGTGAACGCAATAAACCGCACGTAGGGGGCGTAACGGTCGATGCTGTGCACAAATAGCGTATTGAGTAACAGTAGACATGTCGTGAAAACAAAAAACAATTCATTTCGAAAGGAAACATAAAACGATGTTTCGTTTACTCCTGCATGCAGTCTAGGCGCCTTGCACAGCGTAATACAGTGTGTTTGTCGCGGGCATGCTATGTGCGCTAGGTAAAGCACACGGCGCCTGTGTAACCAGCATTAGTAACGGTGAATCTATTACACGGAGGAGACTGCCTGCATGTCGCTGCAGCTATCTTACTTATCTCATATAGACGGTTCTACATTGTAGATGTGCACGAATGCTATATTAAATACACGAATTATAAACCCATATACTGGTTTTGTTATGTGATTCTCTTTCCTCTCCGTATATATATATATATATATATAGTTTATGATTCCTAAATTATTTGATAAAATATCGTGGTAGTTAATGCAATATTGTCTACATTGAACGGTAGACTATAAAATATAGTTTGTTTACGAGATTCCCAATTTTTAACAATGTGATCCGCGCATACTAAATACCACATAGGTAACTGATATTACACACTTTACTATCATAACTATTAATACATGTGCTTCTGTCACTCGTGTCCCTGGCTGTGAGGTTAGACTCCCAAACGCTCGTTGACTGCCTTTACTCGGTGCATTTTATCACAAGATAGCCTGTAACCATTGCGTTGTCTATCTCTGTGCTTCCATGTATATCTGCCTCCTCAGTCCTGACTCATCAGTAGATCTGTAGTCTGTATCCGTTCCTTGGATGTCATCTACTATGTGCGATAGTTACGTCACAGACTGTGTGTCTCCCTCTCAGTAATAACTCGTCGGCGCTTTACTTCATTACCGGGTAGCTGATGTCAATGCCAATGCCGAAGTTCTTATTACAGTCCGTTGTAATCCGTGCGAATCCGTTCTCTCCCCATCTAGTTCCCCACCTGCAATAAAAATCAAGAGAGAGTGTGAGAAAGAGAGAGAGCGAAAGAGACACACACACATACACACACACACACACACACACACACACACACACACACACACACACAC